CCCTGCCCCCCCCCCCCCTTACTCCCCCAACCCCCAGCATGGGTGCCCCGCTTGGGCCAGCTTCGGCCCTTTAAGGAAAGAAAAAGCCGAGAAAAGCCCCGGGACTCTCCGCTTCTGCAGTGGCCTCGGGGCTTTGGGGGCTCGTGCAGAGACCGGGGCTTTTTTTTTTAACACGTTCTGGGAACTGGGGCGGGCGGGGCAGCCATTGCCAGGCTGGGAAAGGGGCAGGGGATGGGCCTGGCCTGGCTGGTTCAGAGGATTGGGCACACTGAATCAGAGATTTGGCCAAACTGAATCAGGACAGTGATTCAAATCACCAAATTGAATCAGTGTCCCCCAAATCGGCCAAATCTGAATCCGAAGCGAAGACTAGCCACTTCGCGCAGGCATACTATGCACGTGTCCTAAGCACTGACTTGTAGACCAGAGGTTCCTCACCACTGGGTTGCAGCCTGATACCAGACCATGAAGGGTTAGCTGCCAGGTTGTGGCACAGTGGGGCAGCCCTGGGAGGCAGGCAGCTAGCTCCATGTGCCCTGTCTTGCTCCTGCCACTATGGCCACGCCTGTGCAGCAGTTACCAGGGCCTGCATCAGGCTAGGCAGAACCCACCAGCCCCACTGGGAGCAGGGGAATGCAGGTGGGGAAATGCCTGGGGCGGAGGGCCGGGAGGCAGCTTTGCTGCCTGCTCCTAGGGAAGGCAGCGGAGCCCCTTTTTCCTGGGCAGCCCCAGCTGGGTCCCCCAGAGCACCGCCTGCACAACCCTCTCCCCTGCAGGGTCTTCTTGTGCCTGCGGCTGCAGTGCCCCAACCCAATATGATCCTTGCAACACCCCCGCTCCATGTAAAAATTAAATTTAACTATGTAAATTAAATTTAAATATGTAAATTAGATGCTCAGTCTGCCAAAATTCTTTAAGTGAGCTTGCCAGTACACAGTACAAAAAAGGTTGGGAACCACTGCTGTAAACAATCCTAAACTCTCCATTAGTCTTTAAATCTGTTAGAGTGTTAGACCTCTCTTGGAGGTCTAATACCACTCTAGCAAATGGAGTTCTGAGCACATGTCACATCTTGTTTACAAAGAGGGCTCAAAGTCCGGTGGAGATCCTAAAAGTTCGAAGAACTTTAGCAAAGTACCTAAAGCTAAAGCAAGAAAGCCAATGAAACTACAGCACTAATCTTGGCACCTGTTGAAGAACCCCCTTCTAGTATTGATGTTTGTCTGTTGAGAAATACCCTTGCCATTTCTCCTGATTGTATCAGCACCCTTACTAGAACCAGAGTAGATGGTGACATTGTCTATAAGGGAATTATTTTCTTATGTCAAGGCACTGTTTCCCACTCTTTCTCCTAGCTTCCTACTTGTCGAGACATTTGTGCTGATAGCCTTGCTGCACATGTCCACACAACTCCCAGTCAAGCTCTGAGGTTACCCAGACTTCTTATCACAGAATTAGGGACATGTAATATATTCATACTCGGTATTGTTACAGCTAATGGCCTGGATGCTGGTTTGATGCCTACCATCTAAAAGCTCTGCTCTTCACATGTTAAGAGACCTTGGAGCAAAGCAGGAATCATCCGCAAGGCAGTTTTATTCCTCCAAGTGGCCATTTCAATGTGTCAATGCTTGTAAGAACAGATAAGTTGCGTGTGAAATGCTGAATTAGCTGCCACATATTCTAAGACCTAAAAGATAATATAATTTTACTCATTTCATTAGTGCCATCCCTTATATGTTCCAGACAAATGTTTTGACTGAACTGAGGAAATGGAAACTTACTTTTATTGAACATCACAAGCTGGAAGTGAGACAAGAAAGGGAAAAACATGCTGCTCATGTGAGACAACTGAATAATCAGATGGATAACCTGAGAGAACTGCTACATACTTATGAAATCTCTGTTGGCAGAAAAGATGAGGTAATAGTTTTCCTATACTACCATTCTTCTATATTAAGAAATTCTGCACCCCATCTTCTCCCTTCCACCCAGCCTTGTTTGTACTTTCACTGCAGGAATCCCTATCGCAGCAGTAAGGCAAGCAAGTAAACAATAAAGTTAGATTATATAGTCAGAAAAGATGACACATTACAAGCTACATAGGATAGAAATCTATAAATAATAGAATTCAACTACTTTTCTGTAAAACACTTGCATAACTATTTATTTTCTAATACTAAAGGAAAAAAGTACATGTTGTCTTTTATTTGTAGCTTCTCTTTCATTAGAACTGCACTCTCCTGGATTTAATAATTACAAGTCATTCTCCATCACATTATCCTTTACAACAATATTGTTCTAAAAAGCTTTATTTAAATTCTGTCCAGATTGGATGGATCTCCCAAGTGGGAAGAAGTCTCATTTGTTTAGAGTTTTTAGAGAAGGTCTTCTGGAGGGGGAGAGGGGAAGGTCATAATCTAATTATAAAATGAAATAGGCCTATGCTTTTTAGGAGTAACATTTTTCTAGCAGTACCTATACCAACTGTCCTGAAATTAACTAGCATACAGGTAGATATAAAAGAAGTAGGAAGAAAGGAATTCCTTCAGTCATGCTCCCAACATAATCTTCTTCTACATGATAATATCTTAAACCTGTGCTTAAGAATACTTGGATAAATTAAGATTTTGAATCTAATTACTTTGAAAAATTTGTTGGAACTATAATCCTGAAAGAGCATGTGCAGGAAGAGTGAAAGTACACACTCCTACATTCATTAGACATGCCCCAGTTATACTGATGATGAACAAACAGTTGCTATAGCTGTGTGCACACATCTGGTATTTGCCAGTGCATTTCAGTTTGCCTACCCAGGACACTCAGGCCCATCATTATTTCAGTCTCTGCTTTTGATTCCATTAAGAACAATTACGTGACAAGATCATATTTGCATAACACATCTGGTAATAGTGTCATCAGAAATTATGATTCATTATTAATGCCTTTCCCCACTACCAGATCAAACACATTTCTTCATCTAATTCTGCTTATCACTAGGCTTCATTAGAATGACAGAACCACTTTATGACTTAACTATAGGTGAGAGTGTCTTCCTCATAGTAGGCAGACAAGGTTCCTTGGGTGAATTTGATATCTCTTATTAGACCAACCCAAATGGTTGGAGAATAGTTATTAAGCAACCTTTCGGGTTCAAAAACCCTTCGTCAGGCTAAAGAAGCTGCAGCAGTTGGTGTGTGGTCTTCCTGGATGGAATGAAAAGTAAACAAGCCAGGGGCTGGGCTGGGCTGGGCTGGGCTGGGCTGGGGAGTCAGTTGCCAGGCAGATTGTAATGTATCAAAAATCCAATGTCTATGTTTAATCTCTGATCTCTAGTATCCAGCAGGTTGATGAAATGGAGCTCATAGGCTCGTCTCTGGGAAGTGTTGTGTAAGTTTCCCTTGAGGATCAGGACTGAGAGATTGGAGAGAGAGTGGCCCTCCTGTG